AAAACAAGAACAAGAATGTATATATAAATGAAAGTGGAGGGCAATAAAAATTGAAATAAAATGCTTTGGCAAATAAATAAAAACAAGTATGAGTGATCATGGCTTCTTTGCATATAAGACGGTTTTCATCACTACAATCCACTACTGTAGAAGAAATTATCACTTGAAATTGAACCTCGTTTTCGTTTCCACAGGAGCCCCACTTCAGTTTCTAACAAAAACAGATAAAAGGTGGAATTCAAGGCACCATATTTAATATTAAAGTTATCCCTGTTCATACTCTTTCAATAAATGTAAAGTCTTTCGTTATTTTCTTGAAATGATGAACGCGCTAGATTTTTTTAACCGGATTTCATTATTATATAAATGTTTAAAAAATTCTAGTTATAACTACAGTACTTATATATAGTTTCTAGATATATGAAATTGTAAAGTAATTTTAAAATGTAATCCTACTATGATGGTAGCATACAGTGGAGTATGTAACATCCAAGTACTGAAAGCACAAATGAACTATGAAAGAGCTGTAACCGTGCCCAATGTAAAGAAACCGCTATAACAAACTGAGTGTGACGAATAATTCAGCCTGCTAACCTTTACAACCTACTTCCATTGATTGCGGTGTTAGATATCAGTGTAACTGATATGTATATCAAAGATATATATATATGGATATCAAAGTCCATGGTTTTCTTTACATCACACATATTCATAAATATATTGATCATACCTTTGCTATTTTTCATGTAAAGGTAAATCCTTGGCGATTTTGTCCCTTTAAACAATTGTAGCAGCTCCTTGGCGTTAGGGAGATATTCTGACAGCCTTGTAAAGATATTCCCGCGCGAGGTTGTTCTGAAAACTCTGATTCTAATGGAAAGGAGAAAATAAGTATTAATATTCACGAAGTTTTTATCAACTAAAAGTAGTTTTGGAAATGAAGAATTGAATTCACAGTGACTTACTGGTTACGTTCTTTGCTTTGAAGACAAGGGAAAACAGCTCGAAGCTGGTCCATTAACATCTCGGCTGTCCATAATGTATTAATCCCTATGTACCTGGCTTCGCCGCTCGTCTTCATGTCTCCCCACATAGAACCCCTTGGAGCAGAGACAAATTTCTTTTTTGTTACAACTATCCATTTCATCACCGTTTTTCCAATGG